CAAATTTCCAAATCTCCTGGAGGTCCCAACGTGCCCTGTGGTGGCTCCAGGCGTGCCCCCTGGGCCTGGGCCGCGTCGCGTCTCGTCGCATGACTTGCTCGAGCCAACGACGGGCCAGGAGACGGGCCAACAATGTCCCAAAAGGCCGTCCCAGTAGTAGTAGTAGTAGTAGTAGTAGTAGTAGTAGTAGTAGTAGTAGTAGTAGTAGTAGTAGTAGTAGTAGTAGTAGTCGTAGTAGTAGTAGTAGTAGTAGTAGTAGTAGTAGTAGTAGTAGTAGTAGTAGTAGTAGTAGTAGTAGTAGTAGTAGTAGTAGTAGTAGTAGTAGTAGTAGTAGTAGAGCCCCGAATGGCAGCTCGATCCATGCAAGACGCCAAGAGGGCCCCAAGACGGCCCGAGAAGCCGTCGTGGCGCCCCAAGAGCGCCCCAAAAACTTCCCACTCGTGCTTCAAAGTCTTTGGGGCCTTGGACGTTTCGAGCTTCGGACGCTCCAAAACGGCCCGCATGGCCGCCAAAATCGCCACAACCGGCGCAAGAAAGAGGCCCCCCAAAGGGGCTCCAAACGGCCCAAGTGGGATCCCAAAGAAGCCCCCGAAGCGCCCAAGACGGTCCAAGAGGGCCTACAGTCAGCCCCAAGAGAGGGAACACTAAAAATCACGTGACAGTCGCATTTCGCAACAAAATACCCAAGAGGGGACACGGACCCAACGTCAGAATCTTCCGCCCCAAAAAGCCCCCAGGAGGCCACGACGAGGACCCAAGAGGCCCCAAAGAGCCCCCCAAAGGGTCCCGAGACGGCGCCAAAGGGGCCTCGAAACAGCCCCCACGAGGCTCCCGAAAGGTATCCCGCGACAGCCCAACGAACATCCTAAAACGCCGATGGCCCAAACCCAGGCACGGTAGCGGGGTGGGCCGACGGCCATCATAAGCACACGCGTACTGATCAATAGTTCGCGTCATGCATATAGCCAGTGCGCATGTATGCAAGTATAAACATATCATCCAATGTTATGTGTATATGCACACATGCACACATGTTTATGCGAACCCAGAGGCGACGCTGAAAGTTTCCCTGCGATGTACCCAGCCCATCTACATCAAGTGACCCGAAGGAAGAGCTGACCCATAATAGTATGGCTGATGGAAACGCCTGATATGCAATCCGTGGTGCAAGCTATATGGGAAGCGCGCACGCTGCACGACTTACAAGACAGTAGCAGAAGGACGAGGGCTGAAACTCCATGCTCGAAGACGAAATAAGGGTCGGAAGGGGGGCAGGTAAAGGGCGGACGGATGGACGAACAGTTCACGCGACAGCAGCAGTGAGACGGTGAGAGGAGGAAGCGTACGACAACGAAAGAGGCAGGATGAGGAAAGACTGTGGGGATCATTGCCCAGTGCCACGGTGGGCAAGCAGCGCGACCCGCGCCATGCCGTTATGGCGCTCGCAAGAGTCAGCTTGGCATAGCTAATGCAAAATGCAGAAACGACCGAGGCCGAACTCGCCCGCAAGATTCTCCGCTTCCTTCCTGCACCTTGCAGTGCTAGTCTGAATCCGCGTGGGGCGTCACTATGCTGGCCAACCCAAAAAAAATGGCGGCATGTTCGCAGTTCGCAGCCCCCGCCCCCCCGGGACCTCGCAGCACCCCTCAGCAGCCCTCGCAAGCGGCGATAGGCTCGTAGTCCGCAGCTCCCCCAGGGATGGCGAGGTCTAATCTGAACCTGCGTCTGACGTCACCCGCTGGCCCCCCAGCAGCGCTCGAAAGTGGCGACAATGTCGCAGTACGCAGCCCCCCCCGCAGGGGTGGCAAGGTCGAATCTGAGCCTGCGGCGGTGCGCCGCTCCGCTGGATCCCCCCAGCAGCCTGCAAAAGCGGTGACAATATTTTCGCAGTTCGCAACCTCCCCGGAAAGGCGAGATCAAATCTGATCCGCGGCGGGGCGTCATTCCGCTGGACCCCCCCCCAGCAGCCCTCGACGGTGGCGACGGCTTCGCAGATCGCAGTCCCCCAGAGGTGGCGACGTCAAATCTGGGTCTGCGGCGGGGCGTCACTCTGCTGGACACCCCAGCAGTCTGCAGAGGTGGCGGCAGTGTCGCAGTTCGCAGCCGTCAAAGGATGGCGAGGTCTATTCTCATCCGCGGCGGGCCGTCACTCCGCTGGACCCCCCCGCAGCCCTCGAAAGTGGCGACAGTTCCGAAGTCCGCAGTCCCCCGTGGATGGCGAGGCCTAATCTGAACCGCGGCGGGGCGTCACTCCGCTGGACACCCCAGCAGTCTGCAAAAGCGGTGCGAGTCTTGCAGTTACCAACGCCGCAGGGATGGCGAGGTCTACTCTGATCCGCGGCGAGGCGTCACTCCACTGGACCCCTGGCAGCCCTCGACAGAGGCGACAGTGTGGCAGTTCGCAGCTCCCCCAGGGATCGCGAGGTCTACTCTGATCCGCGGCGGGGCGTCACTCCGCTGGATGCACTGGTAGCCCTCGAAAGTGGCGGACATTTCGCAGTTCGCAGCCCCCCCAGGGGAGGCGAAGCAAGAGAGAGAGAGAGAGAGAGATAGAGTCAGTGGCAGGCCGGCGGGCAGGTACAAGCCAGGTGAATAAGGGCTACGGGCTACGAGGAAGGAGAGAAAAGAAGGATGAGAAGGCGGAGGTGGAGGAGGGGAGGAGAAGGAAAAGGAGGAGGAGGAGGAGGAGGGAGGCGGAAGAAGGAGGCGGAGGAGGAGGAGCAGTTGCGACCGCCGTGGTCTGGTCAATAGGGGAATGAAGGATGACATGAACATAAAAGCTCGGAGATCCGCGCAGATTTCTCGGATCGGCGCTGGACCCCCCTCCCTGTCGCGCGGAGCGCGCCAGGGGCGGCGCCGGAGGCGCCGCCAGGGGGGTCCAGCGCGGATCCGAGAAATCCGCGCGGACCCCCGAATTGTTATGTTCATGTCGTTCTTCGTTCCGCGATGGTCAAAGCGAGAACCCAGCGCAGGAGGGCTGGGGAACAAAGAAGCGCTCTCCTGCCGCGCGCCCGCCCCGAGCAGCGGCTCTGTGCTCATCGCCTCCCTGACCGCCCCGCGCGCCCCAGGGGGGGGCCTCCGTGCGGAGGCGGCTCTCGCGCCGAGCGGCTGCTGGGGGGCTGCGGGCACTCGATGGTGGGCTCATTTTCCACCGCCGCCACCACAAGCAAGAGGGGGAGGGGATGCTCCTCCTCCCTTTCCTCCTCCTCCTCCCTTTCCTCCTCCCTTTCCTCCTCCTCCTCCTCCTCCTCCTCCTCCTCCTCCTCCTCCTCCTCCGCCTCCTCCTTCTCCTCCTCCTCCCCCTCCGTAGCCATTGTGGCTCGAGCGGAGGCGCTCTCGGGAGCGCCGTAGCAGCGCCGTGCCCTCCGGGTGCGCGCGGCCACCCTCCCGGCGGTGCGATGGGGCGAGGCGGGCGTGGCGGCCTCTCGGTGCGCCATGGCCCCACGCTCGTCCTGGGTGTATCGGTTGGTGAAGCCGCCGAGCTGATGCTGCGCCTGCAGGCGGCGGTGGACTCGGCGGCGAGGAAGGAGCAGGAGACGGCTGCAGCTGGACACCAGCAGGCGCGGTCGGCAGCCGGCGCGGCCCGCCCCGCCCTGGGCTGGCGCGCGCAGGAGCTGCTGGGCGCGGCGGCCGAAATGGTGGCCGTCTTGGGTGGCCCTACGCTGGCGGCAAGCCTCAGGGGGCTCCGGGAGCGGGGGCGGCGTCTCCCGCCTTTGCTGGAGAGGAGGTGCCGCGAGTTGGACGCGGCCAGTGCGCTGCTCCGGCACCCAGGGGGCGAGGTGGAGCGCCTCCTGCAGAGCGTGCTGGCGTGGCGAGGCGGCAGGGGCACCGAGGAGTGCAGCAAGACGGAGTGGCACTACGCCGTCGAGGGCATCGCGGGGGCCAGCGGTGCTGGCTCCACCTCCCTCTGCGAGGAGACGGATCTGGAAGGCGAGCACGGCTTCGGCAGCACCACCGACGCCGAGCGCGAGCACCTCGACACTGCGGACGTGGAGGTACACGAGAGCTTCAACGGGGAGGAGCTCCAGGGCCTCGGCGAGGACATCGAGGAGAGCTGCATGACGGAGAAGCTGAACGGCCTTGAGGGCATTGCGAAGTCGGGCGACCCTGACTCCACCTACCTCGGGGAAGCGACGGGGCTGGAGGGCGTGCATGACCGCTGCAGCGCCACCAGAGCCGAAGTCTTCGACATTGCTGACGCCGGGGACCACAGTGGCTTCGACCCAGCGGAGCTCCAGGGCCTCGGTGTGAAGGAGATCGATGCCTGCAGGGCGGCCGTTGGGGGCCGAACGGCGGCTGGGGCATCGGAGGCTGGGGCTCTGTTGGCAGTTACGGCGGCTGGAGCATCGGCGGCAGGAGTGGTGGCGGCGACTCCAGCTGTGGCGGTTGACGTGCTGACGGATCCCATGGAGGACGGCATCGACAAACCCGTCAGGATGAAGGTCGAGCTGGAGATCGAGAGAACGGTCAACTCGGCGGTCAAGGCGACTGTCACGCCGTGGGAGCGCGAGGACCCCGATGACGACGACGACGCCCTTGCCTTCCAGCGCCGCTTCCGCGAGGAGCTGGTCAGGAGAAGGGCGGACGAGCACGGGTGAGCAGCCGCGGCCGCGCGTCGGCCGTGGCGTGAGACTTGCGGGCGGGTCGGCGAGGCCGGCCGCGCGTCGACGGCGGCGGGTGCGGTGGCGCTCGGGGGTCGGCCCTCCGCGGCCTGCAGGGGGGCTCGTGCTCCCCCCTGCGTGGCGCGGGGGTGAGCCCCCGAGTGGCGCCCGCACCCGCGATCGACGGGCGGCGCGGATCGCGGACCCGCTCTTTCTCTTTCCTCTTTCTTTTTCTCCCTCAGTGGCGTGCGATCCTCCTCCCCCTCCCTCCTCCTCCCTCCTCCCTCCTCCTCCTCCCCCCCCCTCCTCCTCCTCCTCTCCTCCTCCCTCTCCTCCTCCTCCTCCCTCTCCTCCTCCTCCGCCGCCTCTTCGTCGTGGTCCTCCTCCTCCTCCTCCTCC